AAAAAAAAAAAAAAAAAAAAGAGGCTGGTTTTGAGGTTTACCCTTGCTGCACCCACCCTGTAGAAGATAAAGTCGTGAGTGCTGCCAATTTTGAGCAGTTTCTTCAGAAGAGAATCAAAATGAACAGAAAAGCTGGGAATCTCAGTGGAGGGGTTGTAACCATTGAAAGCGGCAAGAGCAAGATCAATTGAACCTGCAACGTTTTGGTTTACAGGACGACGCTCCAGCTAACTGAGCGCTCGGCCAGGGCATAAACACGCCTTTTTAATGAAATACAGTAAGGATTGGGGTGGGGAAGTGATTTACCATTCTCTCTTAGGAAACTAAGGGGCCTTCAGTCTTCTTGCACTCGTACTGGCTCAACCAGATTTCTTTCCTCCTTAATACCTAGCTGAGATCAGATCAATAGTACAATAGGTGTTTAGGGTGATGGAAATGGATTTGAATGATTTTGAAGGTCTGGAACACCATTTAGGGGAATGGAATAGGCCCGTGTCAGACTGTAATGGAAAATTTGGATGGTTTTGTGGGCAGTAGGAACCTAGTCACCAGATGGATAGAAAATAGTAAAGGGGGCAAGGAAATATAAACAAATTTACTATGTGCAAATAAAGGGGAGGCAGGGAGTTGGTGTGGGTATAAAAGGGCATCATGAGGACAGGGTTTCATGGGACTATTTCTTAGAACTGCATGTGAATCTACAATTATCTCAAAGTAAAAACACAAAAAATATATAGGGTAGGAAATGCCCTTCAACAGATGAACAGACAAACTTGTACATACATGTAGTGGATTACTACTTGGTCTAAAAAAACAACAAACTACTGATACATGCAACAACTTAGGTGGATGTCATGGGTATCGTGTTAAGTGGAAAAAAACCAGCCTCAAAATGTTACATGCTGTATGAATTTAATGGAGGATGACATATCAGTGGGCGCCAGGGGTTAGGGCTGGCATGAGAGTCTAAATATAATGAGATAGGCAAGAGGGAGTTTTTTGTTAGGATGGAACAGTTCTGTGTCTGACTGTACTGGTAGTTATACAAACTATACATGTGATAAGATTTCATAGTATTGTACACTAAACAACCACAGAGTAATATAAAGACTAGTCTGCAGTTTTATTAATATTCTTTATAAATATCAATTTCATTTGAAAATGCACAATGGGTATGTAAGATGTTATCAATGGGGAAACTGGGTGAAAGACACATGGGAACTCTGTAACATTTAAAAAACTTTTTGCAAGTCAAATTATTTCAAATGAAGTTAAAACTTCCACTTTTAAATTTAACAAACTATGTTTAGGACAGTGATATCAAGAGGTTCTTCTCAAAATTCTCCTTATCCTTATAATGAGTAGAAAGAACACAGCAGGATGTGTCAAAAGGTATCTGAATTCTAGGCACAACCTACCTACCAACAAATTATATGAACTTGACAAGTCACTAATCACTTTTAAAAAATAATTGATTATTTATTTATTTTATATATCTTTATTGATTTCAGAGAGAGGGAGGGAGAGGGAGAGAGAGAGAGAAACATCAGCGATGAGAGAGTCATTGATTGGCTGCCTCCTGCATGCCCCCTTGCTGGGGAATAAACCTGCAACGTGGGCATGTGCCCTGACCAGGAATCAAACTGCGATCTCCCAGGTCCCAGGTCGATCCTCAACCACCGAGCCACGTCTGGCCGGGCATCACTAATCATTCTTAACCTTGGTTCCTTATCTGCAAACTAGGGAGAACCATGCTTCTTTAACCTAGCTGAGATGGAAGATAAAAGGCTGGATAAAAATAAAACAAAAAACACATGGACCCGTGGTGGGGAAGGTGGGTGGGAGGAATGGACACTTTATGGAGGAAGCCTGAAATTTCCCAGCAAATGCTTGGGCAAAAATACAGCTTGACAGGACTCAGCACACACACACACACGTGCTCATCTAGCTTACTTCAAGGGAGGGGACTAGCGGGAAACACACCAAGAATCTTCAGTTCTGGACGGTACTATGACCTTGATACATGCTGATGAAAACAGACTTGGCCGTTAAAATTAAGGAATGGGATCAGAGACTTTTATCAGCCAAATGGTCAAAAGGCTCCCTTAATCTACCGACTATTCAGCTTCCTCAGAGTTATTCAATATTGAATCTTGTTCTCCTGTCACTTTCCTGTCCCCTCCTTCAAAACAGCCTACGAAAACCTCAAACATAATGAAAGAATAAGATATATTTCCCCCATCCCAGGTGGTTTTTCTTTTACTTTGCAAAATGCAGATGACAAGCAACATCCTATCAGGAGATCACATTTGACAATAGCAAACAAATGCCCAGTGTCTAGGGTATAAATCTTTGTTGCTTACAAGGCAATTTGCTCCTGTCCTAAAAATATTGCCAGAACTTAAATTTTAGTCCATTGTAGCACTGAAGGAAGTTTTCTAAACTAAAGTTCCCTTATAGGCTGCCAAAAGTGCGTTCCATTTTGCCTTACCTTTCAGAACCAGCATTTCAGGACAAACAATAGTTAAAAAAAGGGCTCAGGTGTTCATGACTCTGATATCCTTCGGTCATGAACTCCAAAAGCAGGAAAGGCCTTCTTGAAATGAGCTATGTAAACTACCCTCCTGGCAGCTTGCTATGGGACCACATGCACAGATAGGCTAGGTGAGTATTAAGTGAGACTGATCGATTTGCCAAGTTTTGTGAGCAACTCTGTAGATCCTAGGGAGGATTCCTTGCTGCCAGAGGCACCATGCCTGTGTTGATGGGGCAGACACTATACAGAGATCTTCCAGAGAGGCAACTGAGGACTTCTTTACTGAGTGCTTGTTTTGGACATTTGGGGTCTGAAGCGCCTCCTCAAGGTCTTTCCAGGGTGCTAAGAAAAAGGAAAGGGCTCTTATCTCCCTCCTTGAACCCATCTCACCCATTCCGAGAAAGGCCTTACCGTATAATTGGGGTTTCCTGGCTGGATACGTAGCTCAGCCAAGATCCAAATGCCATTAGTGAGCTTCAGAGATTGGTACAGCATGTCCTGCCCTTCCACATTCCTCTTGGCAATAGTATAAACGTTGTTGTTTTGCAACTTGCTGGAAACAGTGTCTAGAAACACAGGTTCAAAATATCAAACAACTGCTTCCCCTCTTCTGACATCCTAATGGCCATGTGTGCTGAAATCCCAACAAGTTCTGTTCCCTGCATGTTTCAGAAAGCCCTTCTCTCACAACAGCAAAGGGTGAGGAAGAGGCTCTTGAAGTGCCTGCCAATCACATTCCAGGACAGAAAAGAGAACGCGGGGCAACTAAACATTAGTGTAAGAAATGCCTGAGGCGACTGCAGTGGGTTGAAGGGGCCACTAGCCGTAAACCAGGTGCCAGCCCAGTAAAGATGCTCTGAAGAAGACAAAGAAAAACAGGCCGCCGCAGTGGCTCCAGCGCTCATAGTCATTTCTGAAATGCTGGTCCCACAGCCACAGGGACATGCAGACTGATGGTCAGATCCATGACACTACTTTCTGAGTTGCTACCACTTCACTGTGGGCCACTCTGGCCTCAGTGGTCAAGATCAGAAAATAACAGAGCTGCAAAAATCCTGCAAGTCAAATTTATTAACCTGGATGTTTAAGATTTTTAAAAAGCAGGCAAATAATTTCTAAAGCTTGTAGGGAATACCATGCTTTCAAATAAACAAACAAACTGTCTCTAAAGACTTTGAGAAAGACACAAATTGTACAAAGATGATTACTACAAGGCCTGTAACCTCAGCTGCTGTGGCTGGTAACAGCGGAGGCCTTCAGTTACCAACCCAGGTAAGAACAGGATGGTGCCTTCCTTGGGACTACAGCAAAGAGACATGACATTCTAGAATTAAAGGTCATTTTTCTCTCCTTGTTCTCTTCCTGCTAATATGGGAGATGTTCCAGCATCAAAGAGAAGCTTTAACAGAGATAATAAACACTGGTATTTTGTTGATAGTTTATTATGTTCATTTCTGATGAGAATTCAAATTACTCATGCCAACTTCGGAAACTCAATTCTTTCCATATAAAAATCTGTCACATTCTACTGTGATCTCTAGGAAAAGGTTGCCACGATGAACGGTCTTTATGCTCGGGATCCTGAAGTTTTTCATCACTGTGCTTCCCACAGTATCTGGGACACAATGGAATCCTGCCATCAATACCTGTGAATAAGTCTCTCACTCAGGTGTTGGTGATGCCAATACGTACATAGCACCACAGGCATTAAAAACCATCTACTTAGATTTTGGAGGTAGTTCCTGCCCTGACATCTTTCTCCCACGTTCAAACCAGTGAAAGCTCAGGGGAGGAGGCACTAAAGTCCATTCATTAAACATCTGCACTACACTCAGTTATGACTTAACCTTCCTCCCTTTAATTCCAAAGAAGGTTTTCACTAACACCAGGCAGAGGAGTTGTACCTTAAGAACTGGCTCTCTTTGAGTCCAAAGGTGTACCTAGGGTAGTTATCAGTTACATGCAATACTGTTGGAAAGGGAGGCCTCATATGCCTTTTACTCACCTTTTGAGGGATCAGGCAGTTCCGGTTGTCACCTTGGCTTGTCACAATGAAGGGCTCTTGCAGCCTAGAATAGGTTACTAGGCAATGTCGCCAGCTGGAGTTTGGCTAATATCTTTTGACAGGATTGTCTTTAAAACATGGGGGCTTGCTTTAAGTTGTAAAGCCATTCCTAACTTTCAAGGCTCTTGCCCATTTCCAAGGAAGTGGAAAACACACAGTAGGAGCCTTTTATTAGCCACTTTGTTGCATAGGCACAAATATGTTCTAGACAATATATATAGCAAGGACCAGATTCCTAAAGACATCTCATGATTTACCACCTATGTAAGAGATGATAGGCTAAGAAATGGAAGCATACAAATAAATGCATATACACACTCACCTCTTCTAGACTTAGAAAACATGGCTAACAGCAAGGTAGAATAAGCAAGTTGAATAGATACAACTATAAAACATTTGGAAGCATTCTGGCCAGGAACGTGGCTCTGCTCCTCCTGAATGGCTGTACCATGATTTCTATGGAAATACTGAATAGAGGGAGTGCTCGATAACATAAGAATGTGTGTGAGTCAATTTTGATAAATCTTAGATACTAGGTTTAAGCTTAAGGACATCTAGATAGCAGGATAATCAGACTCTGTTAAATGTACTTCAAGAATGGCAATGAAAGCCAGATGTAAGAAGGCTTCTCAGCCAGGCTGAGATAAACTTGACAAGGTATCAGGTATTTTTTACACACCTCAACTCTTGGGAAACGAGATGGATCCTTACAGTTTTGAGACTTTGAGAATAAGAAGGTAATGCTAAGACACTGAGACGTGCCCCCCAAAATAAAAAAAGATGGTCAAATATAGTTATAGAGCTGACCCTTAACAATGCAGGCTTGAAATGCATAGGTGCACTTATAAGTGGGTTTTTCAATTGACTCAAGCAGTTCAAACCCAACTGGCAGCTGGAAATCCGTGTATGTGGAAGGCTGACTTAAGATATCTGCAAATTTCTGACTGCGCGGTGGTTAACATCCCTAACCCTTGCGCTGTTCAGGGTCAACTCTACTTGCTTCAAGATGTGATTTCTTCTGGTTCATTTGTCTTCCCCAAATTTGCCACTTTGGGTCTATGGCCTAAAATCTTAGAAGCTATGGATGTGGCCTGCCTTCCTACGTCTTCCTACTTCAGCTAAGTCACCTCTTCCAGCAGCAGTGAGTGAAAAGACAGTACTCAGAGGGTGGGAAGAGGGGAATTTGCATTTGGCACCCAGCTGTGGTATTCATTAGCAAGTTCAAACCACGATGCTGAAAAGAACAGTTTTTACCATTTGACAACCAAACTATATCTATATTCAAGTACTGGCTGGCAAAACATTTCCATTTATGAAATGCTACAGAGGATGGGGAGAACCACACCAAAACAAAGAAACAGAGCTCACCCTCACCTAGTCCTCCTGCCAGAAAAAATATGTCCCTTACTACAGTGCCAAACTAGATGCTATACAGGGGTGGGAAAATAGGTTTACAGTTGTGAGTACATGAAACACAGTTATTATTATTACTTACTGTATTATTTTCCGTATGAACTGTAAACCTAACTTTTGCCCACCCCTGTAAATACAACATGCCTCGGCTGTTCAGAGCATAATAAACATAAAAAAAAGAAAGAAAAAAAGGTTTGTAGACTGCCAGAAAGATTCCTTTCTGGATATGGCTGGAGATGCAACTACTTCTTGTTTACTTAAGACAGTGGTCCCAGACATGTACCAACTCCAAATGCAGCTATAATGGTAAGCTACAAAGCAGATTCATAAAGATCTCTTGACACTAGTCGAGATGACCAGTGCTAGAAAGCAGGGATACCCACAAGTGTGTGCCTTTCTGATCTAATATCTTCTAGTATTTATACAAGTAGTGGCACCACAAGCAACCCATCATATAGACCTTTCTATTATGATCTGATTAATTATTGATGCTTGAAGAGTTTCTTCTTTAGAAAGAAATGGAAGAGCAAAAGAAAAAGCTCAATGCTAGTTGGTAAGTCCTTTTAAGCCTGTAAGTTCCCATAGCCCTCAGAGTGTTACTGCCATCTGTCAAATGTCTACTCTGCCACAGAAAAGCTATTTAAAGTGTTGGTACTATTGTGATTAGGGCAGATCAGCTGGAAAGGATGGTATTTTTAGCTTTCAGCTAGACCCAGGGTGTTGAATCAGAAGGCACTAAACCTGGAAACGGTCATGTTAATAGAGCCTTCAAGAATGGAAGGAGATGTAAAGGCCAGGGCACCCCAGACCTTGGGGTGAAGGCAGAGGAAAAGCTAGAAAGGGTCAGTTGCAGGAAGGGGCCTTGTAAGATTAGCAGTGATTTAGTGGGAAAAAGGATGGCCTTGGGCTCCTGGAGAACACAGAGTGGCTGTTTTTTTGCTCTGCTCCATGTGCTATGCTGCCATAGAGCTGTGTCTCACTGGAAAACCCATTTGTTGGTATTTGGAGCACCCAAAGCAAGGAGAAACTGGCGTGAAGCCATGGCAGAATTGATCAGAAGAGGATTTTCTCTGAGAAACTGCTCCAGGCTACATCAGAGGACATAGCCCCACTGGGAGAAAGGCCAGATACTTCTTTGGCAAGACCACGAACGTACATCAAGGTGTAATAGTGTTCACAATTCCAATCTGGAAGCAGGGGGATCTTTTCTATTATTTTGGCAGGCCAGGCCAGACTAAGTTATCCAAACTTCCTTTTTTTGTTGTTTTTTAAAAGCATGTCCCTTTCATACTAGATGTCAGAAACCAAACCCTCTTTCTAATTACTCTGGCCTTTTTCTGTGTCTCTACAGGCCAATGTGTTCCCAGATTGTGTTCAAGGAACACTTGTGTTCCAAAAAATGTTAACAATAACATCCTGTCATTTTAAATTCCAGTCCACATTGATCTAAACAGGTGTCCTCAATGTAGGACTCCTCAGCTTTTAGTGTGCTAATGTGCAATGGCACTTTCTAAGACAGGCACATCATGCACTATATTTTTCAACTTTCACTGACCACAGGACCCTCTCCTCCCTTTTTTAAATAACAAGTGTTTTCAGGGGCATAATATACAAAATGTTGCCATAGGACCAATTACTACAATAGTAACTACAACGAAGGACATGGTCTTTTCCAAGCTGGGTACAGAGGCTGCTTCTCTTAACAGGATCCACACTGGTTCTTACCATTAGCAGCCACTGTGAACCTGACAAGCTTCCTGAAGCACCTGACAGCTTCCTGAACAATAGCTTATTGTACTGTGGAAAGTTGCCCAACCTTCCACACTCATCAAATGAGGTTTGTGGTAACTGACCAGTGAACCTCAGAGAGAGTGGCAGGTAACGCTGTCATCTACCTAGAACACGGCACAAAAAGCAGCTCAATTTGAGTATGGTTTTGTGAGTGTGAAAACATAGCAAAAACTCTAACTTTGTTTAATAAACACGCAACCAGTCATGATGAGAAGCCTAGACCAAGACCTAGAAAGAAGGCAGATATAGGAAATCAACTAATAGCTATTACAATAAAAATTATAGAAGACTGATCTCCTCAAACCCTCTTCAAGGGCTAAGGAGAAGCCCTATAAGAAAAGATCTGTCTGAACAGAGGATGAATACATACATCACAGAGCCCCAAAAACTAAAATTTAAAAGGAAAACTTTTAAATTGAGAAGATTTAGAATGAGAAGACAGTCTCTCTCTCTCTGTACCTGCCACACTGCCTCCTTCTCTTAGCACTATGCTCTAGCTACAACAGGATGGCAGCATACGGAAACCACTTATGAGAACTGCCAACACCTGGGGGCAACGTGATGCATAAACGAAGAAAAAGGAGTAAAGGACCAAGCACCAAGGCTCACTTTCATTCAAACTTAACCTTGCACTAAAAAAGGACTGGGACAAAGGCAGGACTCTGAACTTAGGAATCCTTCTGCTCCTGAGGAACACTTCAGTGAAACAAAGCCCTAGGGACTGATAGCTGCTATTGTTTTTCTTCTTGGTTACTTCTCTGATGTTCTATTATAGTAATAAAAATAACTACAAAAGGGTCTGGGGCTTTTTAATGGTGATTCAAGAGGTTAGAATCAGGATAAATGTGGACACAAGGCAAGAAAGAAAAAGGTTACCAACTAGTCTTTAATCAACTACGATGTATGCTTATTTAATAAGAAACACCAAATTCTAAGTAAGGGTATCAGAATGAGTCACTTTTCCTCCAATACCGAAGGTAGATATAAAAGGAAAAATAGTTCTTTTAATTCTAGGAAGAGCGCACATTCTTAAGTGTCACTTCAATTATCTGGATGTTCAAGTAATATGACTAACACATGTGCAACTACTGAACTGGGAAGATGGAAACAGTCTAATTTGTTTCTTAAATCTGTTGGCTTGTAAGTAATCTAGTATCTACATCAAAACATCCCAAGTTTTTAAAGAGAAGTTTGCAAAGTAATATATCTACCATATAACTGCTAGAAACAAAGTGGATATAAGAAGAGGTAAATAAAGACAATAAATATCTAATTTGATTTACTGAGATGAAAATGAAAAGTAGTCATTACTCACCAGCATTTAAATGACATTCCTTAATCTGAAACTGAAGCTCATTTTCATTGGGAATATCCTTCCATGTTGCAAGGAAGACCTGGCGCTCTGTATGGAGAAGCAGAGGAAAAGGAAGGATATGCACAATCTGTTGATGCTGATTTCTGATGCCCTGTTCCATTTCTCCTTTGGAGTGCTGGCTCATGCAATAGCAATTCAGCCAGGAGTAGCCTGGGCCTGGAGCCGATTCTTGGCTATGCAGAGGTGCTACACTCCAGGTCAATTAATCCCTCATCAGTAGCACTAAGATACATTGGAAAATAGTTTACATCTAGGGTTTAGTTTTGGCTCTACTGTTTTCCTATTTAGTGACTTAGGGTAAGTTTGTAACCTTTCTGATCCTTAACCTCACCATATATAATTACGTCTGTCACACTTACCCAAAGAGTCACTGTAAGAACCAAATCAATTAAGTGCTGATACAATTTGATATTTACCAATATATGCTAGTTTTATTAGATGGTGGTTTCCTAAGTACGAGAAGAGAGAAATGGCAACAATCACATGGGGAACACTAGTGTTTTTATAAATTACTATAATTATAATGAAAAAGTGTGAAATAGTGAGAGAATTACCAAAATGTGAAAGAAACACGAGTAAGCAAATGTTGGAAATATGGCACCAACAGACTTGCTCAATGCAGGGTTGCCACAAATCTTCAATTTGTGGAAAAAAAATGCAATACTTGCAAAGTGCAATAAAATGAGGTATGTTTGTACTCTGTATGCTGGGGTTATTCAGAAAATTGGCATTGTGATTTAGAGACCAACAGCAAAACAAGACCACTGTGACTCAGGCGAATAATTAATTAGCAATCATTAAAGCTTTAGAATAGCCTTACCCATGCCATTTTTTTAAACCTCAAAATAACTTGTACTTCTGGGCTACGCTCTGCCTAACACTCAGAGGAAGGGCAAAGATATACTTCGCAGGACAGGAGGACATACCCATTTTGCCATCTTCTACAAAAAGCACATTGAGCGGGATGAGGCAGCTGAAGTAGAAGACATCAATATTGTTTTTCACAGCCACCTGCCAAGAAAGAACAAGGGAAAATCAGAAGATTGTAGAAAGCCAGGTAGGAGGAAAAGAACAGTTGTGTGCCTTGAAATATATCACCCTATTTCTTTCTCCTTTAGACAGTGCAGGACCCCCCCAAATCAAGACACACCAGCCCATACATTGCAAAGCACATCCTTACTCATTCCACTGTCAAAGTACTGTGACAACCTGCAACACTACCTCTCTCTAGGAGGAGCTACAGGGGGAATGAATTCAAGGACAAGTTCTGCACCCAGAGTATTCTACTCATTTTTTGTTTGTATGGTTATTAATAGTTGCTGCTATCACTTACTAAATACCTATTAATGATATGATTTCTAATCCTCATTATTACTAACCCAAACAAAGTAGGTGTCACTCCCCTCTCATTTTACAGGTGAGGAACGGAGGTTCAGAAAGATCCAGGGTCACATGCAATTTGACCCTAAAACCTGAGTTTTTCCCTCTCCACATTAACTGCTCATACTGCCCATTACCTTTTTTTAGATGCCGGTTTTAAAGTTGTTTCTTTTATAAAATCTTATTTTCTAAGTCCTATGGTTGGAAAAAGCTTGTGGGTCAAATACTGGTAAATTGGATGACTATACGAAGGAAAGCCTTTGGCCCTGGCTGGCTGGCTCAGCTGGTTGGAATGTCATCCCGTACACCAAAAGGTTACGGGTTCGATTCCCCGTCAGGGCACATACATGCCTGAGTTGCGGGTTTGATCCCCGGTTGGGGCACATATGGGAGGTAACTGATCAATGTTTCTCTCTCACTTTGATGTTTCTCTCTCCTCCCCCCTCCCCCCTCTCTTTCTAGAATTAGTCAACATATCCTAGGGTGAGGAGAAGAAAAAAAAAGGAAAAGCCTTTGAATAAGCAAAAAAATGAGTTCTCTTCTCACAATATAAGCTTCTGACTTAGACAGGCTGTAATTCTACCATGGCCTTGCATTCAACTCAGAGCATGCTGTTTATATTTTTTATAAAGTTGCATTTTTATTCAGGGGAAACACTGATTGATGTATATATTCAGAAACAGGCAGAGTCCACTGAGGCAGATTATAAGAACCATATACTGTAAGAAGGGAGAGTAGGAGGAGAACTGCTAAACCACTACTTCCCACTGGTTTCTGTCACTAGTGACTTTCCTATTTATGCTCTTGGCACTGCAGGGAAACATTTCTCTGGGCAAGTTCTATAATCAGTAACCATGCCTATTTCTTTCATTTTGCTCTAAGAAAATAAAGGGGGGGAAGTGCCTACCTAGCACCGCTATCCCCCCAACTCCCAACACCTTTTTTCTCTGGGACAAATGCCCCTACTTCAACAGCATATCTATCTCATCATCAAAACTTTGGCCATGAGCCCCAAATATCCTCTTTCCAGAGTACTTCCAGTTCTTTTACATTTATTCTCTTCCCCACCTTAAATAGTACCTTTATGTCCTGCTGTAAGTTTGGTTACGTCTACTTGACAGTCTTCCGGTTCTCTCCCCCTGAAGAATCCATCAAATTACTTTCCTTGTAACGTGTGTTTTTAACCTTTCAATTACCAACCTTCCAGGAGTTTCTGACCTATATCACATAACCTGATGCCCAAAATATCATGACAGCAGGATTCTCAATGTAAGCGGAGAAACCAACCTCACATTAAAGTGGGACTTTAGATATTTTTGAGATACTAAAGCACCACTTCAAAAGATTTATACCAGCGTGGGCTTCTGTGAGACATTTTCTAATTAATGGGGCATTTAGCAATGAGAGGAGGACTCATTTCACATAAAGAAACTAAGAGGATAGAGGAGTGCCAAGCTCTATGAAGGGCATTTAGAAATGAAAACTGGGGTGGTACAGGTGGGGTAGTGAAATGTGATTATCTACTATCATCTTTGAATATAAAAGTCGTATTTCACAATGTGCCATTCATTCAAGCATTTATTAATGTTTACTAACCATTTCCGATATAAAGAATACAGAAAAGATAATCCCTGTCCTCCAAGGGATAATATTGGTGATATTTAACCAAAAACTTATACATAGTGTTCTGAGGGAAGCCATATTACAATTGGGAGTTCTTTAGTGATGAAACACATGAAAAGCTCCGCTAGGTTAGTTTAGCATTCTGCTTGAGGACCCTTAATACACAGATGAAAGCCATGGACCCTCTTTCTGAAAAACATATGTGCAATATTTTGACATACAATTTCAGGGGTTTCAGGACACTCTGAAAATTTTCCCTGGACTTCTGTTCTAGAATAATTCTGAGAAGCTGGGAAAAGCAGAGGCAGTGGACACAGTGGTTTAGAACATGGACTAGGGAACCAGAACAGACAACCTGATTTCAAATTTTGACTGTCACTCACTAGCTGAGTGTGACTTTGGGCGAGTAGTACTCAGCCCAATTTTCTGTCTGTAGAATGGAGATAACAGTACTGAATGCATAGGTTAATGAGTTAATATTCGCAAAGCACTTAGAATGGGTGCCTAGCTTAAAGTAAGTACTATAACAAGTTTTTGTTAAGGAAAAATTCCCTGTTCCTTCACTGTCTTCTGTTTCACTTTTTTTTTAAAACTCAGAATTTTTCATAATAAGGATAACCATATTAGATTTATCCGAAATCTTACACATGTTCAAATGTAGTACTACTATGCTAAGAGATTAGAAGAGATAAAAGGGCTTATTAGCAAACTGTTAGCTTCCTGCTTCTTCCTGCTACTAAACCCTTAGTAAAATATCATCTCTTGACAATATCAACTGCACACAGGTCAGTCTTTGGGAGGAAATGTTTCAGGTCTTTTCCATTGGCTTTTCTAAATCTGCATTTTACAGCTCTCAAACTTTTAATCTTGGCTAGTGCTACATCCATCTCTTGGTTCTGGTCCCTGCCTACCTCTTTAGCCCATTTCCTTAACTTCAATCACATTGAAATTACTTCTTGTTCCCCAAACACTGAAACTCACAGCTCTGTGCCTTCTTACATGCTGTTCTTTCTATTAATAAAGTCTTCTCCTGAAGCTTTAGCTGTCTGGAAAAATACCTATGTAATCTTTTTTTTATTGATTTGAGAGATATTGATTTGTTGTTTCACTTATTTATGCACTCACTGGTCGCTTCTCACATGTGCCCAGACCAGGGATTGAACCCATAACCTTGGTGTACTGGGACGATGCTCTAACCAACTAAGCTACCTGGCCAGGGCCCTACTATGTAATCTTCAGATTGATTCAGTTCAAGCCTAAGACTTCTCTGGATCCGCTCTTATCCTTTCCTGTATAGCACCAAGGGCATACGCTTCCACTATAGCGTACAATAAAGGTTTACACCTGCCTCACCCTCAACACAATGGGCTCCTCGAGTGCAGGGGCTCTCATTTGTCACTAGCATACTAGTGACATGAATATCTGTCCATGAAATGAAGGGGAAGGTGTTGAGCAAATGGAATGAAATGCTCACTTCTCATCCTTTTTTCTACCTCCACATCATTCATCTGCATAACATAAGCCCATCAGTAACATTTCCCTCATTACATAAACTGATACTCAATGAGGCAGGGATGGGGGGATATGTGCGCTCTTTTAGCCTCAAATCACTGAGCTAAAATAACATCTATATGCTAAGGAAGAATACCGATCACAACCCAAAGAACACCAGATTCTCCGAGGATACACCAATCACTCCTAGGGGGTTAAGGCATAAAAGAATCAGGGAGCACAGTATGAAGCCAGTTCGAGTCCAATCCAGATGGCAGTTCCTTTGAAATACAACTGAGTCAACCTTAAAGAGCATGATACTGATTGCTTTGAAAGCAGGGGGGAGATCCTTGTTTTTTGAAATTATCCCAACAGGTACAGAATAGGAAGACGTAATCCAGACAAGCCAGGGAACTATTTTCCAAGAGCTTTAACATCAATACCTAGCTTGCCTATGGGAAATCAATGATTCATGTATATATCCAACTGCCTACTTGGTATCTCTGCTTCGATAATATCTCAAATGAACATGTCCAAAAACTAATTCCTGATCTCTCCTCCTCATCCTTAAAAGAACATGCTGTCCTTCCAAACTCAGTAAGTGGAAAACTGCAAAGCCTTTTAATGGTCTCCATGCTTCTGCACTGGTTTCCCCCACCCCTACACCTACCTTCCCCAGTCTATTCTTGACACAGCAGCCAAAGTGAACTTAAAATGTAGGTCAGCTCACAAATACTTCTCTACTCAAACCTCCAATGACCTCCCATCTCACTCAGAATAAAAACCAAAGTTACAATTGCCTATAATCTGATGCCAGTTACCTCCCTGATGGCATGTGCTACAACTCTCCTGCCGCTTGCTCCATGTCAGCCACAGGAACCTGTTGTTGAGCTCCTTGCACATACCAGGCATGTTCCTGTCAAGGCTTTTTGCATCTGCTGTCTCTCTGTCTGGAATTCTCCTCCTTCAGTAATATGCATGGCTCATTCCCAGCCTCCCTTAGGTCTTTGCTTTTTAAAATACTATCTTTTCAGGTAGATCTTCCAAGACCAACATATTTATAAAATTACACCACCCAATTTCCAATCCCAGGACTCCCTGCTCAATCTCTGTTTTATTTTCCTTCATGGCCCTCATCTGACTACTAAAAATACTATTTTACCTATTTGTTGGTTTACTGCCTGTCCCCGTGCCACATGCCCCACCTTCAGTAGAATAAAGTTTCATAAGAAAGATATGTCTTTTTTTCACTCTGTATACTCAGTTTCTAGAACAGTAACTGGCAGAGTTAAGTACTCAATATGAATAATGCCAAATATACTACTCAAAGTTCCTAACAACCATTTATGTTTAATGAAAATGTGAACTCGGCATGAACTTCCCAAAAGAACAGTACTTCTTAAGTTTTTTTCTAGTCTATTTTCTTAACAGAAAAGTATGGACATACATACTGGGGTGAAGGTGGGAAGAAGGGTTGGGATTAGAAGTATAGTACCAAGTAGCCCATCATAAAAACT